GAACATTTATTGACACATAATCACTCTATTAAAACCATAAAACTAATTAAAAACGTAAATAATTACAAAGAACTTAATATCAGAGAAGCAATAGAAATGTTTAAAAATAAAAACAATTTAATTAATTGGGATCTTGGCCCACTGAAAAATTCATTATTAAACTTGTGTAAACTGGCAAAATGTGATAATATTACTTAGTGATAACGTCACTAGGTGATAAGGTCACTAGGGGTATATAAGGGAGTTTTTTCTAGTCGGGGTGTCAGTATGTGTTTAGCGTTGATAATGGTAACATTGTTTCCGAAATACGTATCCGCGACTTTTCATTAATTTTTTTGTGGCTTTTGAGTTTAATATTTTTAATATTTTTTAGTTTTTTTAAATTAATAATATTTTTAATATAGTTTTAATTTTACTTAATAGTAATATATATTAGAGCTATAGACCTTATAAAAATAAACGATAATAACTATAACTCCTTCAATAAATAATCAAGATAAAACTAAAATGGTAATAAAAACTTTAATGTAGTAACAAGAAATGACTAGCTATCTACTTATAGTGATAGGATATTGAACAGACAAAAAAAAGGGAGAAAAACACAATAATTTAATAGAAAAAATAATTCATCTACAATATAATTCACTAATCACCAAACCCCACCCTTATGGCTTTTAACAAACTATATTTTCAAGACCCTTATGATTATGGAACGCTCAGCCTCATGCTAACAATAGGATAAATATTTTACTAAATTCTGTTCAATAAATCAAAATCAATACGAGCAAACTGGATACTCAATGAACAAAATTAAATATATACACAAACAACTACTTACAAGGCTTTAGCTGGGCAGTTGTTTCTAACGCAAATATAAAACATAAACTATAATATGATACAATTAAACATGACCACAATACACAAATTTTCTCAATAATAAAACATAAATCTCTTAAACAGTTCAGTAAAAATTCACAAATATCACAGTTCAGATATATATCACAGGTTTGACTAAAAATGACTAATTTATTAAAAGGCCCTTATGACCACTATAAACTAATACTGAATAATAAAAAATGTTACAAATCCAAAAATCTTTTATTGAGTATTCCACACTTATTCTACCGAACTTAAAAATCTAGCCTTAAAATCTACGGTGATATGTTGTGTGTGACAGGTGGCCGGCTTAACGTTGCTGGAACCGTTATCAATCGTGGTAGTGGTTATACCGTTGCACGCACTGTTAGGAGGGACTCAGTATCATTGGCGGCATAGTAAAACGTATTATAACGTTTTATGTTTATTATTATAACACTTTCAAAAGTGAGCTTGAAAAAAATAATTTTTGTGAAAACGTCATTTTGAATTCTCCCTGTGGGCAAGTAAAGGGTTACATTTATAAAATCATTATACCAAATGATAGGTAAAGTTATTGTGCATTTATAAAAAAAAAATTATATTGATATAGTCATTTTTAAATGTTATGACAGTTTTAAGGAAAATAAATTGAAAGAAGTCGAAAATTAGCGATTTTTAAATTTATAATTTTTTTGGAGATTTCCCCCATTTACGGAGAAAGAGGGAAATTTTTTCAAGTTTTGAGGGTAATATCTTCGATTAGATATGATTTGTGATCTTTTGACGTATTGTTGAAAGAAATGGGTTCGGTGAGAGCTAATTGCTAATAATAGCAATTATACTATTATAACAAACGATAATGACGAGCATACACGTAGTTAATTCTAAAAATACGAATATTTTACTGTATGTACGACCCTGCGAGTCGTCCAAAACTCATACATAAGATTGCAGCTTAACGATACCCACACGCACACGATTTGGAACGCAAATCAATGTTACTAAATGGTATGCGATGTAAGACAGTCAAAATATAAATGATGCACCGATTTCGAACGACGAATGCGCGAGGCGGTTATTTTAAAATGACGGAAGGCGTGGTCGTCACAGATACGGAAAACACGCTATCTCTGGAGCGTTGAATACGTTTTACGTTCTGTGTGGCGTCGTGTTAAAATTCTGGGTTTTGTATTTTATTTTATTTTAAAATACCTGACAAGGGGAGTACAGATTTTCATAAATATTATATAAATTAAATATTGATATAGCATAGAAAGTTAAACTTATTTAAATTTTTTTGCTTCTTGAAGTTGATAAAAATAACTTTGAAATTTGAACTAGCTTAAATGGCCAATTTTTTCAGTCGTCGTTAGCGACGTACGGTTGCCGTGTCTTTGTGTTGTAAAACTTGTGTTTTACGCGCTTGGGGTACAAGGTTCCAACCTGCATATAGCAAGGAATTCTTTGCATTTTTTCTTAATTCTTTTTAAGTTAAAATAAATTTTCAACTGATTTGATTTTTATCTCATTTAGATTCAATACTTAATTAAAGATCAAGGATCTCATCACTGTAGTCACCACTCTCAAGAAGAAATTTTTTATTCATATTAAAATTATTTTACCAGACTGGCAATTACTCAGCTCAGGCAACATAATTTTAAAACTAAACTGTTGATAGATCTCGACGCCGAGGAGATAGTCGTTCTGATAATTCAGACGAGGATGTCTAAGGACGGTGACATTCCGTACCACATGTGTCGTTACCAGTTCCCTGTGAGGCTCTGCTACGCCATGACAATCAACAAGTCACAGGGTCAGACGTTCGATCGTGTCGGCCTATCGTTGACGGTACAGCTGTACGTGACGTTTTCGAGGGTGCACAACCAGAATTCTATCAAGGTGTACACTTTGTCAGTCGCGGACGGGCCGTGCGTTGTGAAAAACGTCGTGTACAGGGAAGTATTAGAATTATGATGTAAATCACGTTTTTTGAAGGGATTACGTGATGTAACCGCACAAAATTTTTGATTTCCATCACAGGTTGTTTAGGGGTGCCGGCCACGACGGGCATGACTTGAGCGTTTATGTGATTATTCTGCCTGTGTCCCCGTCGGTTTGAAACGGATATCTTCCCGTGTTGTGCAATGTTATATTGCATTGAATGAGCGTTCAATGGCGACATGGAATGCGGTCCCGCGGTATAGCAGGTAATCAAGTGTTTTGAACGGATTAAGTGGTATAATCCGGGCAAAATTGACTTGATTTTGACGGGCGTGACTTAAGCGTTTATACGAATATTCTGCCTGTGTACCCGTGTGTCCTCCGAAATGGATATTTTTCCGAGCTGTGTATTTGCTATTTGAACTCCAAATGGCATCTATACGGCCGGGGAAATTTCCGTTTTGTGTGGAGAGATTGTATGACCTTCACCTTCACGTTGTTCTCTCTGAATGCAAATTCGTTAAATATTCATGACATAAAATATCATAATAATAATAATATAAATTTCAAACATTTTCGCATTAAAATTTGATACGACAGTCACTTTTTACCTCACACGGATTTGTAACTAATGTCATACCTTATAATACAAAAACGATTCGATTACCATTCGTTTTATTTTCCAGATCGATACGTGTGCTTACTGAAAATCGCGAATTACGAAAAACGGGGACACAAAAAAAATCTCACGGAGGCAAGAAATGACTCGACACCGCAAGTCATGTCGAACGGTACCGGTGTGCGGTCTCCACTAGTCTAAAAAACGGAATTTTAAAGCAGAAAAAACGCAAAATCTGTTTCAGGTACATCTATAATGAAGGGATGGGATTTTAGTATATAGCTAGAGACTAGAG